TTTGTATTTTTAGTAGAAGTGGGGTTTCACCATGTTGCCCAAGCTGATCCTGTACTTCTGACCTCAAGTGATCCACCTGCCTCAGCCTCCCAAAGTGCTGGGATTACCAGTGTGAGCCACTGTGCCTGGCCAGTGTTGTTTTTAAGATGGGGCAATTGCAATGAGCTTGCTGGATGACACAGTGGGTCTGGGGTGCAGGAGAGTGCAACCCCTCTGCTCTGGGGAAGCCAGCCTCACGCTGAGGCATGAGCAGGTGACACCCTCAGCAGCTGCTCCTGGGCTACTGAAGGGGGTTTCAGCTGGGAGGGGTGGGGTCACATGAATGGAGGGAATGGAGGAGGCCTGTAGCCCAGCACTGAGACCTCCTGGGGAGGCGGCTGTGTGCAGACAGACTGGGCACAGGGTCAGGACCAGACCAAGACCTTTGTCCTGAAGCTAAAATAGGCTCTGGAGCCATGGGAGGCTCCAGCCGGCCACTGGTACTGGGGTCATGTGGGAGAGAAAGGGCCAGTTTGGGTCCGCAGCATCTTCAGGCTGTGTGCAGAGCTGCCCCCCTTGTGGTCCTGGGACCCAGAAATTTTCTACACCCACAGGTGGTCTCCCCTAAGGGCCCCCAGAGGGATACCACTGTGGGTGGGCCTAGCGAGAAGGACACCATGAGATCTGCTGCATGGCAAGGTGAGGCCAGAAGGGGAAGCACCCTGACCCCAGGACACTGGGCCCAATGCCCGTCCTGCCCTGCTGCGCCCTGCCCTGTGCATGGCAGGACAGAGTCCTTGGGCCTCAGGAGCCCAGCTCCCCACCCCAGCCCCACCCACAACACTCAGGGTCAGGCTGGCTGGGCTGGGCAGGAGGCGGCATCCAGGCTCCCACTTCGCAAAGCTGCCCTGAGATCTGCTGCCCCTTCCCCCAGACTTCCTGCCTCCACCACCGCAGTAGAGATAAGGCCTCTGGGCTCAAAGGCCAGAGAGGGAGTCCGCAGGGAGGGCAGGGCTGGGAGCCACAGCCTCCCTGCCCCCAGGCCTAGAGCTGGGGTCTTGCCCCAACCTTGTCCCGACACAAGCCTGGCCAGGTGGCTGCTGGGACCCAGGTCCGTCTCCTGTTTGTCTGTGCTGGAGCTTCTTGGGGCTGTCCTCAGCCTAGAGGAGCGTGACGCAGCAGGCACCTTTTCAGTTCTTTCAACCCCATCACCGTCCCCAACAGGGACCACAGCCCATGACCCAGGAGGAGAGAGGCCCATGTCCCCACCCCCAACCGGGCCACCAAGGGCGTCTGGGCAGCCTCTGCTAAGGGCTGTCAGGAGGGGGCCGAGGCCTGGGCCTGGGGCTCTAAGAGCATCTGTGAACCTCTGCCCTGCGTCCCCCAAGCTTGGAAGCAGCCCCCAGATGGAGAGCCAGAAGGGGACACCCTGGCCCTGCCTCACAGCTTGGGGGGTTGCTGGCAGAGGAGCAGATACCCAGACTGCCCATCCAGGGGAAGGGGCCCAGCCCTTGCCCCCCACAGGCAGTGGCTCCAGGCTGTCGGGGAGGATCTGCCGCTGGAATGGTTAACCCAGGTAACTCCAGCAGCCAATCACAGAGCTCTGCAGGAATACCTGGGAGAGGTCCTCACGCGGGCGGGTCCTAGCCCAGCCCCAGTCTGGCCCCAGGCAGCCCCAGCAAAGCCGCCCTCAGCCAGCCCAGAAGCAACACCCACTGAGCACACTGGGAGCTGAGTATGGCGGCCCTGGTCCCGCTAGAGCTGGGGCTGCTGCTGGCTGTGCTGGTGGTGACGGTGACGGCGTCCCCGTCTGCTGGTCTGCTGAGCCTGCTCACCTCTGGCCAGGGCGCTCTGGATCAAGAGGCGCTGGGCAGCCTGTTAAATACGCTGGCGGACCGTGTGCACTGCACCAACGGGCCGTGTGGAAAGGTAACAGCCCCACCCGACGGGTCCCGCAGCCCTGGCCTCTTGCCGCCTGCTCCGCCCTGCTAGCCAGCAGCAAAGGACCCTGGGCAAACTCCAGGAGGCGGCGGAGGCTGGCAGTAGTACCTGGGCACCCTGCCCTGCCTGCAGGCTAGAGCCCACCCTTCTGCTCATTGGGGGCAGACGGGTCTGCCTCTCCATGGACACACAGCCCCTCTTCTCCCCAGGACCCTGGGGCCACCTCCCCCTGCTGGCCCCAGCCATCAAATTGGCAGTGGCTCTAGGGGAGTCCCCCGGGAATGGGGGACCACTGTTGGGGACCCCTCTGCATGCACCCCGTAGTTGGGGAAACAGAACAGGGGCCTGGGGAGACAGAAGGACATAAGGAGTTGAGAATGGGTGGCGGATGCTGTTGGACATGAGAGGGAGAGGAGTGGGAAGGGGCCTGCTGGGAAGCCCCTTGGCTGGGCTGGCTTCTCCTCTCCCTGGTGGGCCCAGCGCCCCTGCCCACCCATCTCTGCCCACAGTGCTTTTCTGTGGAGGATGCCCTGAGCCTGGGCGAACCCCCGGGTCCAGTCCTGGAGACTGGGTATATCGCCCGCCTCAGTGCCGCTGCTGCCCTGTACCTCAGCAACCCCGAGGGCATATGTGAGGGCGCTCAGGCTGGCGGCTGGGCCTCTCATGCGGATGACCTCCTGGCCCGGCTCGAAAGCCCTGAGGGCTTGATCCTGGGCCTGAGCAGGCTGCTGCAGAGGATGCAAGCCCGGGCTGCTGGCCAGGCCCTCAAGACGGTGAGAGAGAGACCAGGCAGACTAGGGGAATGGGTGACGAGGGCCCCACAGCCAAGGGGGCCGGGCCTGCAGAGCCTTTAGGGAGCCTGGGGGCCTGGAGAGATGCCTGGGGGTCGGCCTCGGGCTGGGGATTCACAATGTGGGGCTCACTACTGATCAGGTGGGGGTCTCATGAGGAGGGAACCAGAGGGCTGAGTGGGAGCCTGGGGCAGCTGGTCCCAGCAGGGAGGGCTGCGGCTCCAGGGAGGGCTGGGCTGGTGGGGCACATCCTGCCTTGGAGGGAGATGCATCCAGCGGGTGGGTGGCAGAGCTGCATACAAGGTCACACTGAAGGCTGAGGCCAGGCCCCTCTTCCTCAGGCCTGCGTAGACATCCCGCAGCTGCTGGAGGAGGCTGTGGAGGCGGGGGCTCCAGGCAGTGCTGGGGGCGTCCTGGCTGCCCTGCTGGACCACGTCAGGAGCGGGTCTTGCTTCCTCGCTTTGCCCAGCCCTCAGTACTTTGTGGACTTTGTGTTCCAGCAACACGGCAGTGAGGCTCCTATCACGCTGGCCGGTGAGGCCTGGGCTGGGCTGTGGATGGGGGCGCCCCTGAGCCCCAGCCTCTGTGTCCCTGGGCAGCAGGGCTGGAGCCCACACAGACTCATGGTGCCGACCATTCTCCCTGCCAGAGCTGTCAGCCTTGATGCGGCGCCTGGGGGTGGGCAGGGAGGCCCATGACAACCACAGTCATCAGCACAGGAGGGCCAGCAGCCAGGACCCTGTGCCCCTCTCTACCTCCAACAGCAGCTCCAGCGTGTGGGACACGGTGAGCTGTGCCCTGGGGTAAGATTGGCCCCACTGGGGTCTGCTCAGGCCCCTGACCTGTCCTGCCACTCCCAGGTATGCCTGAGTGCCAGGGACATGATGGCTGTGTATGGACTGTCGGAGGAGGCAGGGGTGACCCCGGAGGCCTGGGCCCAACTGAGCCCTGCCCTGCTCCAACAGCAGCTGAGTGGAGCCTGCACCTCCCAGCATGGGCCCCCCGTCCAGGACCAGCTCACCCAGGCAGAGAGTGAGTGCCTGCCCTGGCACTGCGCTGGCAGCTCGGAGGTGGGACCCATGGAGGGAGGAAGAAGTGGCTGCAGAGAATGAGGGATGGAGAGAGCAGGCAGGGGCTGGGGGTAGAAACAGCAGACACAGGGAAAGGGGGGTCTCCAGGAGGGGAGTGGCACTTTGAGGCAGGAGGGTCGGCTTGAGTGAAGGCCTGGCGCACACTGAGCACTTGCAGCCCCGGTGAGCAACACCCCAGAAGCAGGGGCTGAGTCTAGAAGAAAAGCTCTCACTGGCCTCATCTGCCCCCAGGCTATCTGTATGGCTCCCTGGCCACGCTGCTCATCTGCCTCTGTGCCATTTTTGGCCTCCTGCTGCTGACCTGCACTGGCTGCAGGGGGGTCACCCACTATGTCCTGCAGACCTTCCTGAGCCTGGCAGTGGGTGCACTCACTGGGGACGCTGTCCTGCATCTGATGCCCAAGGTCTGTCCCCCACAACCCTCCCTGACCGCCGCCCTTCCTTCCCCACCTTGGACTCCCAGGCCATGCCCTCCAGGGCCCTTACCCACCCCAGCACTGAACCCTGACCCCTCTCCCTGGGTCTGGGGAGGAGGTACCCTGAGACCCCTCCCCCAGTCCAGTGCCCCTACTCCCCAGGTGTTGGGGCTGCACACACACAGTGAAGAGGGCCTCAGCCCACAGCCCACCTGGCGCCTTCTGGCCATGCTGGCCGGGCTCTACGTCTTCTTCCTGTTTGAGAACCTCTTCAACCTCCTGCTGCCCAAGGACCCAGAGGTCAGGCTTCTTGGGAAGGTACCTGAGTTGAGGGTGGGTGTGCTGGGGCCCCGGTGGACACTGAGCAGTTACCCTCACAGGACATGGAGGACAGGCCCTGCAGCCACAGCAGCCACAACCACGGTGGCCACAGCCACGGCGTTTCCCTGCAGCTGGCACCCAGCGAGCTCCGGCAGCCCAAGCCACCTCATGAGGGCTCTCGCGCAGACCTGGTGAGTGGGCGCCGGATGCCCCACTCCACGCGGAGCCCCTCCCACCGGCCCCGTCCCATGCCCACACTCCCAGTCCCACCCCAGGCCTGCGGCCCTGTCTCCCGCCCCACTCGAGGCGTCCCTCCTCTGCCTCGCCTGCGGGTGGGACTCACTCCCGCTCCTCCCAGGTGGCGGAGGAGAGCCCGGAGCTGCTGAACACAGAGCCCAGGAGACTGAGCCCAGGTGAGCCCAGGGGGCGACCCCGGAAGGGCTGGGGGATCTGGGGTTTGGGCGGAGCGCGAGCGGGGCCGGGGCTTGGCGGTAGGGGACAGGCCACGTGAACCCACGGCCCCTGCGCCCGCAGAGTTGAGGCTGCTGCCCTATGTGATCACGCTGGGCGACGCCGTGCACAACTTCGCCGACGGGCTGGCCGTGGGCGCCGCATTCGCGTCCTCCTGGAAGACCGGGCTGGCCACCTCGCTGGCAGTGTTCTGCCACGAGTTGCCACACGAGCTGGGTGAGCGGCGGGTGGGGCCTGAAAGGCGACGGGCGGGGCCGGACAGGGCTGGGCGGGGCTTGGCGGCAAGGGGGCGGGTCCCAAAAGGAGGCGGGCGGGGCATGTAGATAGGAGGGAGGAGCCGTTGCCGTGGACCCGCCCCCAGGGGACTTCGCGGCCTTGCTGCACGCGGGGCTGTCAGTGCGCCAAGCGCTGCTGCTGAACCTGGCCTCCGCGCTCACGGCCTTCGCCGGTCTCTACGTGGCACTCGCGGTCGGAGTCGGCGAGGAGAGTGAGGCCTGGATCCTGGCGGTGGCCACCGGCCTGTTCCTCTACGTGGCGCTCTGCGACATGGTCAGGATGGTGAGGGGAGGGGGCTGCTCTGGGCAGGGAGCTGAGCTAGGGAGCTGAGCAGGGGCGCTGACCCGGTGCCCACCTGCTCCTCAGCTCCCGGCCATGTTGAAAGTGCGGGACCCGCGGCCCTGGCTCCTCTTCCTGCTACACAATGTGGGCCTGCTGGGCGGCTGGACCGTCCTGCTGTTGCTGTCTCTGTACGAAGATGACATCACCCTCTGATACCCTGCCCTAGTCCCTGGCCTTTGACTCAAGACCCCACACCCCACAAACCTACAGCTCAGAAGCCAGAGCCCCTATAGAGGCCCCAGTCCCATCTTCAATAAAGACACTGTTGTCCTTGGAGCCTGGCTGTGCACTGCTTGCTGGGTGGGAAAGGCCCTCAGCTGAGAAAGGACCATTATGGCAATACCTTCTTCCCACCAGGGTGCCTCGAAGAGAAGCCGGGAGAGTTGCACTCAGGGCCTCCCAGGCAGCCAGTCTCAGGCACCTCTTTTTTGATGTGGAGACCCTACTTGAGTGGGCTCAGGCAAGTTCGCCAGGGTGTGTGGGCAGCAGGTGGGACTCTGTCCCCAAACAGTAATCAAACTTGCTTACCCACTGCTTACACAGGTGAGGGCTTATTTCTCTGTCAAGGAAAGCAAGCCTGGAGATATCAGACCATAGTATGTGGCAGCCCATTGCTCCTGGGACCCCGACCTCTTCCGACTCTGTCCTCCTATCCTCAGCAGAGGCGTTAATCCTGAGTCCGCCTGTGCTGGCCTCCTAGGGCTCCCATAACACAGCCTACCACAAATGGAGGGACTTAAAAGCAGAAATTTATTTTCACCGTTCTGGATGCTAAAAGTTAGAAATCAAAGTGTCAGGTGAGCCACACTCCCTTTGAAACTCTAGGAAACAGCCTGTTCCATGAGGCTTTCCTGGCTGCTGGTGGCCCTGGGTGTTCCTTGGTTTGTGAACAGCATGAATCCAATCTCTGCCTGTCTTCACATGACCTTCTTTCTTTTTCTTTTTCTTTTATTTTTTGAGACAGGGCCTTGCTCTGTTGCCCAGGCTGGAGTGCAGTGGCGCCATCTCAGCTCATTGCAACCTCTGCCTCCCGGTTTCAAGCAGTTCTCCTGCCTCAGCCTCCCAAGTAGCTGGCATTACTGGCCAGCTGGAACCTGGCACTATGGCCAGCTAATTTTTGTACTTTTAGTAGAGATGGGTTTTCAACCATGTTGGCCAGGCTGGTCTGGAACTCCTCACCTTGTGATCTGCCCGCCTTGGCCTCCCAAAGTACTGGGATTACAAGCGTGAGCCACTGCGCCCGACCTTGATTAAGGAGGTCTGGTGGCTCACCCCTGTAATCCCAGCACTGTGGTAGGCCGAGGTGGGTAAATCATTTGAGGTTAGCCGTTCAAGACTAATGTGGCCAACATGGTGAAATCTCGCCTCTACGAAAAATTCAAAAAAATTAGCTGGGTGTGGTGGCGGGCACCTGTAATCCCAGCTACTGGGAGGCTGAGGCAGGAGAATCGGTTCAACCCAGGAAGTGGAGGTTGCAGTGAGCCGAGATGGCGCCACTGCACTGCAGCCTGAAGACAGAGCAAGACTCCCTCTCAAAAAGATAAAATAAATAAAAGGAGGTTGGGTGTGGCTCAAGGGTCACACACCTGATCATCCAAGTGGACCTTCCCCCACTGCCCAATGAACCAGTGACTGGATTTGGATGCGACAAAAACACAGATTTCCACCCCATTTTCTTGGGGATAACGATACTTTGTTGTTTTATTTCTCATGATTCTGTTTGTTTTTTTTTTTTGATTTGAAGTCTTGCTCTGTCACCAGGCTGAAGTGTGCAGTGGCGCAATCTCGGCTCACTGCAACCTCCGCCTCCTGGGTTCAAGCAATTCTTCCACCTCAGCCTCCCGAGTAGCTAGGACACAGGTGCGTGCAACCATGCCCGGCTAATTTTTTTTGTATTTTTAGTAGAGATGGGGTTTCACCGTGTTGGCCAGGATGGTCTCGATCTCTTGACCTCGTTCTCCGCCCACCTTGGCCTCCCAAAGTGCTGGGATTACAGGCGTGAGCCACCGTGCCCGGCCTCATCATTCCGTTTCTAAGTCCTAGGTCCGTGCCTGGTCCGGGATCCAAGGTCCTGGAAGCTGGCACTGGGCTCGCTGTGGGGAGGTACCGGTGAGCAAGGCGAGAGTACAGCACTGGACTCGCGGGCTCGCGGGGTGCTGTGTTGTCCGCGGGAGTGTTGGCGGCAGGGGTCGCTCTGCGCGGGGACACTGGGCAGAGGGGGCGTGCGGCCTCTCTAGGAAGCTTTCTCGGGGTCCTGACGCTAGCGAGGCGCCATATCCCTCTTCCGGACCCCGGGACGGCACCTGCACCCAGGGCTAGGAGCGGAGTCGATTTTCTCTGCAGCCGTCCTGGGTCGGGGGCGGGGAAGCACCCCCGGCCGGCTCCGAGCCGCCGCAGCCGCCCACCTGCGGCTTCCAAGCCGCGCTGCTCCGCCCGCAGCCGAGGCCCAGCACTTCGCGCGCTCGGGGTTTGGGGTCCGGACGCCGAGCCGCGAGACCGCCCCGCACCCCGGGCCACCAGGGGCCGCTGCTGCCACTGCAACCACTCCCACGCGGCGGCGCTGCGCAGGCGCAGAAGCCCGGAACCTCCGCGCGGAGCTTCCGGGCCCAACCGGACCCAGTTCGCCGCCGTCCCGGTCCCCCTCGAGTGGGCTCCAACTGCCAGGTGGGAAGCCGGGCGGGCGGTCGAGGCGGCGGCGCGAGGCCGGCGGTCCTGCGCGGGCGACCCCGCTCACCCGTCCTCTCCCGGCCTTGCGCAGCCGGGGTTGGCGCCATGTACGCGGTGTACAAACAGGCGCATCCGCCCACGGGCCTGGAATTCTCCATGTACTGTAACTTCTTCAACAACAGCGAGCGCAACCTCGTGGTGGCCGGGACCTCGCAGCTCTACGTGTACCGCCTCAACCGCGACGCCGAGGTAGGCCGGGCCCTGGAGCCCTCCCCGCTCTCCACAACGTGGGTGCTCTCACCGCCCCCGGTTGCAGATGGAAGAGCCAAGCCCCAGACAAGTTCAGTGATGTGCTTAAGGCTCCCGGTCCCGAGGAGCCAGAATCGCCCTCAATCTCCTGTGCTCAGGTCCTTTCTCATAGCTGCTACCCTGTTCTTGCCGCACTGCGAAGGGCCGTCTTGTTTGCACTTTTTTTTTTTTTTTGAGACGGAGTTTCGCTCTCGTTACCCAGGCTGGAGTGCAATGGCGCGATCTCGGCTCACCACAACCTCCGCCTCCTGGGTTCAGGCAATTCTCCTGCCTCAACCTCCTGAGTAGCTGGGACTACAGGTGCGCACCACCATGCCCAGCTAATTTTTTGTATTTTTAGTAGAGACGGGGTTTCACCATGTTGACCAGGATGGTCTCGATTTCTTGACCTCGTGATCCACCCGCCTCGGCCTCCCAAAGTGCTGGGATGCACTTTTCGTTTTTTCAGCAAGTCGTTCGAAGGAACGAACGCCCACGGTGTGCTGGGGGGAAGCGATACCTTGTGAACCACACCTGCAGGCACTTGGGGGAGAGGAACATCCACTAAATAAACACCTGCAGCTGCGACAAGTGCTGCTACGGGGATAAAGGAGTGAACGAAGGAGGCAGTGTATTTCCTGTCGTATGATCAGAAGAACCTGTCTGAGGTGGAGCGGGAGTTTGTCGGGGGAAGAACATTCCTAGCACAAGGAACAGGGCCAGGTCTAGGGTGGGGACAGACTGTTGATGGGAGTCTCAGTGAAGTGAGCAAACTCCTCAAGGTTTGGAAGTACGGTGGTGGTTTAGTTGCCAGAGGGTTGAAAGCTGGCCCAGAAGGGCTACTTGCAAGAGGCAGTTTCTACAAAGTTATTGAAGGAGGAGTAATTCTTACCCAGGCCCAGGGATGGTGAGAAGAGGGTGCTCCAGGCAGAAGAAACAGCTTGTGCACAGGGCCCAAGCAGTTGAGGGTGGTGAGGCCATGCACAGTGTGACCACGGTGTGGAGTGGATGTGGTGGTGGGGTTAGAGGTCGGTCGGCCATGATCAGGATAATTCTCCACAAGGCAGGGAGGAGCCACAAGAGAGTTGGAGTAGGGGCTGACCCAGCAGGTAGATGGGTCAGAGGTGCAGGCCAAAGGCCAGCCCTCCTAGGCACCTACCCCAGCATACACATATGTTTGCTGGTCAGGGCTCCTGTTCTTTGAAGGCTTGACCAGGGCTCAAGTGTCTGCTCCGAACACACTATTGGCAGGAGGCCGAAGTTTCTCACCACATGAACCCCTTCCTGGGGGCAGCTCACAACATGGCATCCTCCCTCACAATGACAGAGACCCACCCAAGACCCATCAAGACTGAAGCCGCGGTATGCTCTACAGCCTAAGCTCAGAAGTGACAGGCAGGCTGTGTTGGCTCACACCTATAGTCACACTCTTTGGGAGGCTAAGTTGGGATGATTGCTTGAGGCCAGGAGTTTAGGACTAGCCTGGGCAATGTAGCAAGACCCCATGTCTACAAACAATTTTTTTTTTCTGGTGAGGCAGTGTCTTGCTCTGTCACTCGGGCCGGAATGCAATCTCAGGCTCACTTTAACCTCTGCTTCATGGGTTCAGGCATTTCTCATGCCTCAGCCCCCTAAACCCTCCACCCAGTAGCTGGGATTACAGGTGTGTGACACCATGTCCGGCTAATTTTTTTTTGTATTTTTAGTAGAGATGGGGTTTTGCCACACTGGCCAGGCTGGTCTCAAACTCGAGCTGAAGCAGTCTCCTCACTTTGGCCTTCCAAAGTGCTGGGATTACAGGAGTGCATCATTGTGCCTGGCCCAAATATTTTATATATAAAAATTAGCTGGGCATAGTGGCCCATGTGTGTAGTCCTAACTACACAGAAGGCTGGGGTGGGAGGATTGCTCAAGCCCAGGAGGTCAAGGCCGCAGTGAGCTATGATTGCACCATTACAGTTTAGCCTGGACAACAGAGTAAGACCCCATCTCCAAAAAAAAAAAAAAAAAAAAAAGGGCCGGATGCAGTGACTCACGCCTGTAATCTTAGCACTTTGGGAGCCCGAGGGGGGTGGTTCACCTCAGGTCAGGAGTTTGAGACCAGCCGGGCCAACATGGCAAAACCCTGTCTCTACTAAAAATACAAAAATTAGCTGGGCTAGACCAGGAGGGCACCATCCCTGCCTGAAGGCTGTCCTTCAGGCAGCCTCCAGCCCAGATTCACCTGAAGAGGGAGGGAGACAGCCATCTTTCATGCAGCTGTCTTTTTTTGAGACAGAATCTCGCTCTGTTGCTGTGGCTGGAGTGTGGTGGCACGATCTCAGCTCACTGCAGCCTCTGCCTCCCAGGTTCAAGGGATTCTCCTGCCTCAGCCTCCCCAGTAGCTGGGACTACAGGTACAGAGCACCACGCCCGGCTAATTTTTAGTAGAGATGGGATTTCACCATGTTGCTCAGGCTAGTCCTGACCTCAGGTGATTCACGTCTTGGCTTCCCAAAGCTCTCGATTACAGGCGTGAGCTACTGTGCCCAGCCTGATGCAGCTGTCTTGAACCTGTCCCAGAGAATCTAGTGCAGGTTCGGCTTGGCTTGAGTATGACCTGCTCACCCACGGCCACAGAAAGGAAGGCACAGAACGTGGCAGTAGTGAGGAGGGTGGGAGTGTCTGCTGGTACCTCAGTCTCAGGGAGGCAAGAAGCAAGGCCAGTTGCCCCTCAGGGTTTTAAGGGGCTGCTTTACAGAGAGAGGGAGGGGAAAACATAGATAGGAGATGGGTGAGCATGTGGCCTTGGGCAGCATAAAAGTCCCCTTTACAGGAAGAAAATATACAGGACTTTGTTGAAATTAATGTGAGTTCCCCCCTGCCTTTTTTTTGGTTTTCTTTTTGAGACAGAGTTTTGCTCTTGTTGCCCAGACTAGAGTACAGTGACACAATCTTGGCTCACTGCAGCCTTTGCCTCCTGGGTTCAAGCGATTCTGCCGCCTCAGCCTCCTGAGTAGCTGGGATTACAGGCACATGTCACCACACCGGCTAATTTTTGTGTTCTTAGTAGAGATGGAGTTTCACCATGTTGGTCAGGCTGTTCTCGAATTCCTGACCTGACGCCCACCGCGGCCTCCCAAAGTGCTGGGATTGCAGGTGTGAGCCACCGCACTCAGCCACGCTGCATTGTTAGAAGGGTTGCAAGAGAAGTGCACAGATTTCCTGTGTATCTTCATCCAGCGTCCCAGATGTGGACATTCTGCCATTCCTCCTTCCTTGCTTTTTTTTTTTCTGAACCTGGAGAGTAAATTGCAGACAGGATGCCCCTTAGGTCCTAGATGGATTTTGTGCTTTCTGACAGTGAGGACAATGTCTTCCAAAACCATAGAGCAGTATTCTAAATCAGGATGTCAAACACCAGTGCGACTCCAGGCCTTGGAGCTGGCTGCTGTCCCGAAGACATCCTTCACTGAGCATGGCATCTATGTCATAGCCATTTAACCTAAAACAGGTGCTCAGTTTTTGTCCTTAATGACACTCTCTTGTTTGAAGGCTACACAGTGGTCACTGGTAGGGTGTCAGTAGGTTGAGTCTTACTGGTAGGGTGAGATTTTCAGATATTTTCAGGTGTTTATTTTTTTTAAATTTTATTTATTTATTTCAGATAGTGTCTTGCTCGGCCGCCGAGGCTGGAGTGTGGTGACGTGATCTCGGCATATTGCAACCTCTGTCTCCCAGGTTCAAGCGATTCTCCCATCTCAGCCTCCTGAGTAGCTGGGATTACAGGTGCCTGCCACCACGCCCAGCTAATTTTATATTTTTAGTAGAGACAGGCTTTTCCATGTTCGTCAGGCTGATCTCAAACTCCTGACCTCAAGTGATTTACCCGCCTCAGTCTCCCAGGTGTTTATTTTTTATTTTATTTTTTTGAGATGGGATCTCACTCTTTTGCCCAGGCTGGAGTGTGGTGGCGTGATCTCTTCTCACTTCAACCTCCATCTCTGGGGTTCAAGCCATTCTCCCTTCCCAGCTGGGATTACAGGTGTGCACCACCATGCCCAGCTAATTTTTTGTATTTTTAGTAGAGATGAAGTTTCACCATGTTGGTCAGGCTGGTCTTGAACTCCTGACCTCAGTGATCCGCCCACCTCGGCCTCCCAAAGTGCTGGGATGACAGGTGTGAGCCACCTTGTCTGGCCAAGATATTCCCTGGTGTTTAGATGAGAAGTCTATTTTTGGCTGGAACACCACAGAAGAGGCACACAGCATCCCCATCAGCTTTCAGGAGGCAGCTGGAGGCCTTTGCCTCATGACCGGGTGCTGATGCTTAGCGTGTACTTGGGTAGTGTTGGGCTGGATGGCCCCACTGTAAGGTTATTTTTTCCTTTTGTAACTAAAAAGTTTATTGTACAGATTTATTTTGAAACCCTATAAATATCCTTTTATTCAAACCTCCTTTTTTTTTTTGAGACAGAGTCTTGCTCTTCCCCCCAGGTTGGAGCGCGGTGGAGTGATCTTAGCTCACCAGCGTCCCACGCCCAAGTTCAAGCCATTCTCCTGCCTCACCCTCCAGAGTAGCTGGGATTACAGGCATCCGCCACCACGCCCAGCTAGTTTTTGTATTTTTAGTAGAGACGAGGTTTCACCAAGTTAGTCAGGATAGGCTTGAACTCCTGACCTCAGGTGATCTGCCCACCTCAGCCTCCCAAATTGCTGGGATTATAGGTGTGAGCCATGTGTCCAGCCTGAGTGTGGTTTTTTTTGCATTTATTGTTCTTCAGGTTTACTGACTTTTGAGACTGTAGATTGATGCTTTTTATCCTTTTTAGAAAAGTTTTGGTCACTGTTTTTTTTTTTTTACAGTTGTGTGATCTCGTCTCACTGAAATCTCCGCCACCTGGGTTCAAGCGATTCTCCTGTCTCAGCCTCCCGAGTAGCTGGGATTACAGGTGCATGTCACCACACCCAGCTAATTTTTGTATTTTTAGTAGAGATGAGGTTTCACCATATTGGTCAGGCTGGTCTTGAACTCCTGACCTCAGATGATCCACCCAATTTGGCCTCCCAAAGTGCTGGGATTACAGATGTGAGCCATGGCGCCTGGCCTTGGTCACTATTTCTTTAGCTATTGATTCTGTCCCCTTTCTCCCAAGATGTCAGTTAGACATTAGACCATTTGACTATGTGCACATTTTTCTTATCTTTTTTTGTTTAGATGGAGTTTTGCTGTTGTTACCCAGGCTGGAGTGTAGTGGCGCGATTTCGGCTCACTGCAGCCTCTGCCTCCCAGGTTCAAGCGATTCTCCTGCCTCAGCCTCCCAAGTAGCTGGGATTACAGGTGCACACTACCATGCCCAGCTCATTTTTATATTTTTAGTAGGGACGGATTTCTCCATGTTGGTCAGGCTGGTCTCAAACTCCCGACCTCAGGTGATCCCGCCCGCCTCGGCCTCCCAAAGTGCCTGGATTATAGGCGTGAACCTACATTTTTCTTAAACTTCTTCTGAGTGGTTACCCTTCTTCGTGCATGTATACAGAAGTGCAGTTGATCTCTGCATATTGACCTTATACTTGTCAGGGAGGGATCAGGCCTCCTCGGATGGTCCCGATGAAGAGAGAAACCTTCAGCGTTTCACTCCCAGTGCCACATTGCTGCAGACTCTTTGTAGATACCCTTTATTTAAGGAAGTTTGAGCTGGGCGTGATGGCTCATGCCTGTAATCCTAGCACCTTGGGAAGCCGAGGTGGGCAGATCACCTGAGGTCAGGGGTTGGAGACCCACCTGGCCAACATGGCAAAACCCCTACTCTACTAAACATAAAAAAATTGGCCATGGTGGCGCATGCCTGTAATCCCAGCTTCTTGGGAGGCTGAGGCAGAATTGCTTGAACCCAGGAGGCAGAGGTTGCATTGAGCTGAGATCACACCACTGCACTCCAGCCTGGGCAACAGAGTGAGACTCCATCTCAAAAATAAATAAATAAATAAGTCTCACTCACATGTGTGAGCCCAGCTACTTGGGAGGCTGAGGTGGGAGGATCACCTGAGCCTAAGAGGTCGAGGCTGCAGTGAGCCATGATTGCGAATGTGTACTCCAGCCTGGGAGACAGTGAGGCCCCATCCCAAAAAAACAAAAAAGGCCTGGCGTGGTGGTTCACACCTGTAATTCCAGCACTTTGAGAGGCTAAGGTGGGTGAATCACGTGAGGTCAGGAGACCAGCCTGGCCAACATGGTGAAACCCCATCTCTACTAAAAATACAAAAATTAGCCAGATGTGATGGCGTGTGCCCGTAATCTCAGCTACTCTAGGGAAGCTGAGGCAGAAAAATCACTTGAACCTGGGAGGCAGAGGTTGCAGTGAGCCGAGATTGTGCCACTATACTCCAACCTGGGGACAGAGTGAGACTGGTCTCAAAAAAAAAAAAACAAAAACACCTTTTCCTTGCCTTGAGAAGGGGGCATATAAAGACGCTAGTTCAGCTGCTTAGTAGCAAAGAACAGTCTCCTACCGTCATGGCAAGGCAGTAGAAAGGGAGGAGGTGGAGCTGCAGTTTGGGGCTCAGGGCTTCCTCTCTAACAGGCACACTTATCAAGTATGGGTACCCCTTGGCTCTGACTTCCTGTTTTGTCACATTTGGACTCGGGGGCCCGTGGCGTTGGGCTGCTGTGGGTGTGCAACCTGGCAGGTTTGGCAGTGTGCCGAGTGACCCCAAGTGCTTGCCTCACGGGCCTGGCTGCTAGGGAGCCATGAGGTGGGGGATTCCTGGGGAGGGGCCTGTGCCAGGGCCAGCTGTGGGTGTGAGAGTGTAAGCAGGATATATGGAATGGGGGGGGGCGGGGGAGCAGGTGTGCACAGCTGTCTGCAGAAGCCCCTGGCCTGCTCCCTCCCTACGGCAGAGAGGGTTTGGGTAGAGCTCCCAGGCGGCAGGGGCCAGCCTTGGTGGTCTTTTCTTGTTCCCTGGATGAGGTAAGCGACCAGATGTGGCCCCTCACTGCCCTCTCTTCCTCCCCCCTCCAGGCTCTGACCAAGAATGACAGGAGCGCAGGTGAGTATGGTGGGGCGGCCATGGGCTGTAGGGGTGCCAGGCATGGCTGGGCCCTGAGCCCTGAGCCCTGGCCTCTCCCTAGAGGGGAAGGCCCACCGGGAGAAGCTCGAACTCGCCGCCTCCTTCTCCTTCTTTGGCAATGTCATGTCCATGGCCAGCGTGCAGCTGGCGGGAGCCAAGCGGGATGCCCTGCTCCTGAGCTTCAAGGATGCCAAGGTGAGTGGTCGGCTTGGCGGGGGTGTAGGGTCCAGCCCTGCTAGGGTAGTGGGGTGTTCCCTATCACTGTGCTGAGGCACCGGCTCCAAGAAATAAAGAGAAAAGACACAGAAGGACAAAGAAAGTGCAGCTGTGCTTGGGGGGCTGGGGGGTGCAGCGCCACTTAAGTGGAGACAGGTGAGGCCCGGAACGTCCAGTAGCATCTGTATTTATTGAGTATAGGTTAGGGGGCAGGGTAGTGAGTGAGGTCATCTTTAAGGATAGTGATAGGGTCAAGACATTCACAGGAGCGACAGGCAATGGGTCTACCCCCATTAGGTCACCAAGGCAAGGAGGTGGGCCGTGCGCAGTGACGGGGGTGCAGTGTGCACCATCTCTTATCTAGGGGCATGCTATTTCTCAGGAATTCTATAGGAGGAAGCTTTGAGTCAGCACAGTAGCAACCGAGCTGACAAGGTCTGCAGCCACCTGCTGGCAGCTTCCAGTGATTTCTATAGGAGGATGCTTTGAGTCAGTACGTAGCAGCAGGGTTGGCAGGGTATACAGCGCCTAGGCATGATTACACCAGAGGGGTTTTAAGCCCTCAGATGCTTGAGGGCTTGCCAACCCGAAGCCAGCTTCCATAAAAACTGGACACAGGGTACTGCAACTCCTTTTCAGGAGGAGTGGCTCTTGCTCTAAGCCTGCCATACAGCTGGTATCTGAACGCTGCCACCTGGGCCGGCCTGCCACGTAACGCATGCCCTTTCAGGCAGAGGCACTACTGTTTGGGCCACAGATTCTTGTCCTGGTGTAACTGTTTTCCCTTAAATCATGCTCTGCACTGTCTGCTCTCAACATTCCTCCAACTATAAGATATATATAGGGAAACAACTAGTAGTAAGTTGTTCTTCGGGCACTGATTGTTGCAACTATAAACTAATACATGATTATAGATAAAGGATTATATAAAGCAAATAACTGAGTAATACTATAAACTGAGATAATCTTCAGGCACTAAGAAGTGCCAGGGATCTGCTTAGCTCTCCTTCTTTGGTACCCAGATGGGGGAGGTTAACCACAGGGGAGCCTGGCCAAGGCACGGGAGTGGGTGCTGGGGACTGGTGGGGTGGGCCTGGCCAAGGCGTGGGAATGAGTGCTGGGGCCTGGCCAAGGTGTGGGAGTGGGTGCTGGGGACTGGCGGGGTGGGTCTGGGCACAGCCATTTGGTTGGCAGGGTGACACTGTAGGACATGCAGTGGACAGCCACGGCTGTACCTCTGACCCTAGCTGTCAGTGGTAGAGTATGACCCGGGCACCCACGACCTGAAGACCCTGTCGCTGCACTACTTTGAGGAGCCTGAGCTTCGGGTAGGCCACACTCATACCCCCACTCAGGCCCCAGCCCAGCCGCCCACCCTCCCCCTGCAGCCGGGTTCTGTTGCTCCAAGTGCTTCCCTTGGGGTCTCCTATGCTGGGCCTGGCTGATGCCCCTTCTGCCACCAGGATGGGTTTGTGCAGAATGTACACACACCACGCGTGCGGGTGGACCCCGATGGGCGCTGCGCAGCCATGCTCGTCTACGGCACACGGCTGGTGGTCTTGCCCTTCCGCAGGGAGAGCCTGGCCGAGGAGCATGAGGGGCTCGTGGGTGAGGGGTAAGTGCCAGCTGGGGCAGGCGGTGGTGCTGCTGCGGAGAGGAGGGGTACCTGAGCCCGAGCTCCCCTCATCCCCTCATCTACTGCTAAATGTAGCCCCTCCCCCCAGGCAGAGGTCCAGCTTCCTGCCTAGCTATATCATCGACGTGCGGGCCCTGGACGAAAAGCTACTCAACATCATCGACCTGCAGTTCCTGCACGGCTACTACGAGCCCACCCTGCTCATCTTGTTCGAGCCCAACCAGACCTGGCCCGGGTGAGCCCCCCGAAGGAGGCCCCTCTATGCTGTGGACCCCCGCTGCCTCTGCTTGGAGCTGTGCTCATGGGACATGGGTGGGGTTTATGGGGTGTGGGGCTAGGATTATAGGATGTGGGTGGGGCCGGGGCGGGGCTTGCTCAGGGAGGAGCTGGGCCTGGGTCTTTGCAGGGAAGCAAGGCCTGTGGCTGACCTACTGGCATCCCTAGGCGTGTAGCTGTGCGGCAGGACACGTGCTCCATCGTGGCCATCTCACTGAACATCACACAGAAGGTGCACCCTGTCATCTGGTCCCTCACCAGCCTGCCCTTTGACTGCACCCAGGCTCTGGCCGTGCCCAAGCCCATAGGTGAGAAGCCTGGGGATGGCAGGGGAGTGTGTGGGGGGGGGGCAGTGAGCCCACCCACCAGCTTGTGTCCGCCTCCAGGTGGGGTGGTGATCTTTGCCGTCAACTCGCTGTTGTACCTGAACCAGAGTGTCCCCCCGTATGGTGTGGCTCTCAACAGCCTCACCACAGGCACCACGGCTTTCCCACTGCGTGAGTGTGGGGTGGCTGGGGGAGGCCAGGGACAGCTTGGGCCTTCCCAGACGTCCTGACCACCCATCCCACAGGCACCCAGGAGGGTGTGCGGATCACCCTGGACTGTGCCCAGGCCACCTTCATCTCCTACGACAAGATGGTCATCTCCCTCAAGGGCGGCGAGATGTGAGCCCCTCCCCTGCCTATGAATTCTGCCCCTCTCCAGTCCCCTGGCCCCCTTCACTGCTCCAGGGTGCACATAGCCCACTCAGAATTCCCCCTGCCCCCAGCTACGTGCTGACCCTCATCACTGATGGCATGCGCAGTGTCCGAGCGTTCCACTTTGACAAGGCGGCCGCCAGCGTCCTCACCACCAGCGTGAGTTGGGACCGAGGGTTGGGTCTGGGTCTGGGCCTGGGCCCGGGCCCAGGCCCGCCCTCACCCACCTGTGCTCCCTCAGATGGTCACCATGGAGCCTGGGTACCTGTTCCTGGGTTCTCGCCTGGGCAACTCCCTCCTCCTCAAGTACACAGAGAAGCTACAGGAGCCCCCAGCCAGTGCCGTACGCGAGGCTGGAGACAAGGTGGGTTTCCTAGGCCCATCATGCCACCACTCCTCCTGTGGGTGCTGCCGTGGCATGCTGCTCAGTGCCCTTTCCTGCTTCATAGGAAGAGCCTCCTTCAAAGAAGAAGCGTGTGGATGCCACGGCTGGTTGGTCAGGTGAGGACCGGGCCAGGGCCAGTCAGGAGCAGGGTCAGTGACGCAGTGCTGTGCTGAGGCAGGCTTTCTATGTGCAGCTGGGGGCAAGTCGGTGCCACAAGACGAGGTGGACGAGATCGAAGTCTATGGCAGCGAGGCCCAGTCAGGCACACAGCTGGCCACCTACTCATTTGAGGTGAGACTGAGGCAGCAGGGCCCCTTCCCAGCCAGTGCCCCCCCCATCGGCCCCCTGACCATCACTGTCTGCAGGTGTGTGACAGCATCCTTAACATCGGACCCTGTGCCAATGCCGCCATGGGCGAGCCTGCCTTTCTCTCTGAAGAGGTACCCAGGGTTGGGGTCAGGGCTGGAGGCAAGGGCTGGGATGTGTATATGTGTTGGCGGGGGTCTAGTTGTTACCCCCGAGTCCCCATGCAGTTTCAGAACAGCCCTGAACCAGACCTGGAGATTGTGGTTTGCTCCGGCCACGGCAAGAACGGGGCTCTGTCCGTGCTGCAGGTATGTGGGCAGGTAGAGGGTGGGCACCCCTGGTGGGACCTCGGTGGGCTCATAGCCTCATCACACCCCCACCCCATCATCATCCTAGAAGAGCATCCGGCCCCAGGTGGTGACAACCTTTGAGCTTCCAGGCTGCTATGACATGTGGACGGTCATCGCTCCGGTGCGTAAGGAGGAGGGTAGGTGCAAGTCCGCTGCAGGGAGGCCCTGGGATGGGCCCCGCACTGCCTTCTCATGGGATGCACGTAGGGTGGTGGGGTCCCAGGTAGTGCCCCTACCTGCTGCCCTCACTGGACTGTTGCTTCCAGCCTGCTCCCCTTTGGCCCTGACAGGAGGAGAATCCCAAGGGGGAGGGCACAGAGCAGGAACCCAGCACCCCTGAAGCAGATGATGACAGCCGCAGACACGGATTCCTGATTCTGAGCCGGGAAGACTCAACCATGGTGAGGGGCAGGGCCTGGGACCTGGGTCTGGGGTCTCCTGGGGAGGGGCCTTCCTCACTGCTGTCGCCTGCAGATCCTGCAGACGGGGCAGGAGATCATGGAGTTGGACACCAGCGGCTTTGCCACGCAGGGCCCCACAGTCTTTGCTGGGAACATTGGGGACAACCGCTACATCGTCCAAGTGTCACCGCTGGGCATCCGCCTACTGGAAGGAGGTGGGTGGGCAGGGATGGGGGGATGGGCCCTGGGGAGGCCCATGCTGACTGCCTTGTGCCCACAGTGAATCAGCTGCACTTCGTCCCTGTGGACCTGGGCGCCCCCATCGTGCAGTGTGCTGTGGCCGACCCCTATGTGGTCATCATGAGCGCCGAGGGCCACGTCACCATGTTTCTGCTGAAGAGCGACTCCTACGGCGGCCGCCACCACCGCCTGGCCCTGCACAAGCCCCCGCTGCACCATGTAGGCCCCCCTTCCTGGTGCCCGCCTGGCCCTGCACAAGCCCCTGCTGTACCACGTAGGCTCCCCCCCTTCCTGGTACCCGCCTGTCCTGGCCCCTTGCCTGCCACTGAGCCCACCCCTCTCCCCACAGCAGTCCAAGGTGATCACGCTGTGCCTGTACCGAGACCTCAGCGGTATGTTCACCACAGAGAGCCGTCTGGGCGGGGCCCGTGACGAGCTGGGGGGCCGCAGCGGCTCGGAGGCCGAGGGTCTGGGCTCAGAGACGAGGTGTGTTGGGGCCAGGGGTGCAGGTTGGGGCTTGGGTCCCTGTGGCTGGCAGGCTGCCTGTGACCTCTGTTGGCCCCCAGCCCCACAGTCGATGATGAGGAGGAGATGCTGTATGGGGATTCTGGCTCCCTCTTCAGCCCCAGCAAGGAGGAGGTCCGAAGAAGCAGCCAGCCCCCTGCTGACCGGGACCCTGCACCCTTCCGGGCAGAGCCCACCCACTGGTGCCTGCTGGTGCGGGAGAATGGCACCATGGAGGTAGGTGGTGCCCTGCCCTGCGGCCCAGCCAGCTCCACCCACCTGCCTCCACTGACTGCTGCCCACCCCATAGATCTACCAACTTCCTGACTGGCGGCTGGTGTTCCTGGTGAAGAACTTCCCTGTGGGGCAGCGGGTCCTTGTGGACAGTTCCTTTGGACAGCCCACCACACAGGGCGAAGCCCGCAGGGAGGAAGCCACACGCCAGGGGGAGCTGCCCCTGGTCAAGGAGGTGCTGCTGGTTGCTCTGGGCAGCCGCCAGAGCAGGCCCTACCTGCTGGTGAGCACAAGGCCTGGCCTCCCCTTCACAGCCCCGCCCCTTCTTATGGCCCATTCTATCTTCCCCACAGCCTGTCTCTTCCCATGGCCCCTCCCTTTTCCTCACAGCCCCGCCCCTTCTCACGGCCCATCCCATCTTCCCCACAGCCTGCCTCTTCCCATGGCCCCGCCCTTTTCACAGCCCTGCCCCTTCTTATGGCCCATCCCATCTTCCCCACAGCCTGCCTCTTCCCATGGTCCCGCCCTTTTCACAGCCCTGCCCTTTCCCATGGCCCATCCCATCTTTCCCACAGCCTGCCTCTTCCCATGGCCCCGCCCCTTCCCGTGGCCCATCCCATCTTCCCCATGGCCTCACCTTTGTTCCTCAGTGCCCCACTCCTTCCCTGCACCTCTGCCTCCTCCCCACAGGTGCATGTGGACCAGGAGCTGCTTATCTATGAGGCCTTTCCCCATGACTCTCAACTCAGCCAGGGCAATCTCAAAGTCCGCTTTAAGAAGGTGCCCATACTGCCAGGGCGTGGGGTGGGTATGGTTCAAGGGGTGGGTTTCAGACCAGCAGTCCCTGGAGGATACGAATGGTTCTCCCCCAGGTCCCTCACAACATCAACTTCCGTGAGAAGAAGCCGAAGCCGTCGAAAAAGAAAGCAGAAGGTGGCAGCACGGAGGAGGGGGCTGGGGCACGGGGCCGCGTGGCACGTTTCCGCTACTTCGAGGACATTTATGGCTATTCAGGGGTAGGCCAGCGCCTTTGCGGAGGTCTGTGGTACAAGGGGGATCAGGCCTCATCCACAGCATCCTCATGTGTGCCTGCCCCCAGGTATTCATCTGCGGCCCCTCCCCTCACTGGCTCCTGGTGACCGGCCGAGGGGCACTGCGGCTGCACCCCATGGGTATTGACGGCCCTGTCGACTCTTTTGCTCCATTTCACAACATCAACTGTCCCCGTGGCTTCCTGTACTTCAACAGACAGGTGGGGCCCAGCCCAGTACCCAGCAGCACTAGCTGATGGCTGCCCCAGTCAGGGTTGAGGGTCAGGGACAGGAGAGGGACCATCAGCTTTGCCCTGAGGACCAAAAGGAGCATCTGGAGGGCGGTGGGGTTGAGGCTGAGGAGGTGGAGCCTGGAGCTTTGTGCTCCAAAGGTCTGGAAAGGGGTGGTTGGGAGTTGGAGCCGCAGCCCCTGGGATCCTCCCCCACTGCTCTGCTGGCCTCTGTACTTCCTCAGGAGAGCTGCCTTGAGTGCTAGTTCTGCTCCTTGGCTGCTCTGTGACTCTGGGAGGGCACACATGCTCTCTGATCTTGGTTCCCCATCTGAGCCACCACAACACTCCAGGTCACTTGGGACCTTGACTGGGATGTGGTTGAGTCCTTCCCAAATGCCTGAGGACTCAGGACTGTCTGTGGAAGAGGTCAGCCCTGGCTTCTTCTGGCTTAGCTTTCCCATCACCTGTGGCCAGCATCCCTAGCCCCAGCTGAGCCTAGGAACAGAAGCCAGAGGAGCCCCAGAGGCCGAGTGGCAGTCCATTCCAGGACCTCGCCTGGACACAGCTGCCCCTCACCCGCCCCTGCTTCTGCAGAGCTGAGGGCAACATCCCAGGGGCTCTTGGCAGCCTGGGCCTGCCTGCCCCTGCTCCCCTGACCCTGTGCCCCCACCCCAGGGTGAGCTGAGGATCAGTGTCCTGCCTGCCTACCTGTCCTATGACGCCCCGTGGCCTGTCAGGAAGATCCCGCTGCGCTGCACAGCCCACTATGTGGCTTACCATGTGGAGTCCAAGGTCTGCCCCCACCCCCGCCCCACCAGGGACCTTCTGGGCCTCATCTGGCCAGTGGCATGTGACCTCCACTAACCTGCAGGTGTATGCTGTGGCCACCAGCACCAACACGCCGTGCACCCGCATCCCACGCATGACTGGCGAGGAAAAGGAATTTGAGACCATCGAGAGAGGTGTGTGACATCCACACCACGCTGCCATCATGAGCCCAATCTTGCGGAAGCCCCACTGTGACCGCCACCCTTCCTCCCTGCAGATGAGCGGTATATCCACCCCCAGCAGGAGGCCTTCTCCATCCAGCTCATCTCCCCGGTTAGCTGGGAGGCCATTCCCAATGCCAGGTGAGGCTGGGCCTGGGTGGGGTTCCCCAAGGCCTCTGGGGCAGCATCCTGATGCCCCCAGCCCCTGCAGGATCGAGCTGCAGGAGTGGGAGCATGTGACCTGCATGAAGACAGTGTCGCTGCGCAGTGAGGAGACTGTGTCAGGCCTCAAAGGCTACGTGGCCGCTGGGACCTGCCTCATGCAAGGCGAGGAAGTCACATGCCGAGGGCGGGTAAGGGGCTGGTGGGCGGGGGCAGACAGCCCTGGCAGCCCTGCTTTCATCCCCACAGCTATCCCACAGCCATCTCCATGCCCTCCAGATCTTGATCATGGATGTAATTGAGGTGGTGCCTGAGCCCGGCCAGCCCTTGACCAAGAACAAGTTCAAAGTCCTTTATGAGAAGGAGCAGAAGGGGCCAGTGACTGCCCTGTGCCACTGCAACGGCCACCTGGTGTCAGCCATCGGCCAGAAGGTGCCAGTCCTACCTGGCATGTTCCCCTGGCTCACCCCCACCCGGTGTGGCGTCCGCCCCCACTCACCCTTTCTACCCCCCACCCCCAGATTTTCCTGTGGAGCCTGCGGGCCAGCGAGCTGACAGGCATGGCCTTCATCGACACACAGCTTTACATCCACCAGATGATCAGCGTCAAGAACTTCATCCTGGCAGCCGATGTCATGAAGAGCATCTCGCTCCTGCGCTACCAGGAAGAGAGCAAGACGCTGAGCCTTGTGTCACGGGTAGCGTGTGGTTGTGGTGCCTGTGTCTGGGTAGGTACCTGCCCAAGGCAGCTCTGACGCCCCGCCTTCCTGCCCCCAGGATGCCAAGCCCCTGGAGGTGTACAGCGTGGACTTCATGGTGGACAACGCCCAGCTGGGTTTTCTGGGTATGTGGGCAGGGCCCTGGGGGTTGAGGCTCTGAGGGTGGCCAGGGCTGACCCTGGGCCTCTGCTCCCCAGTGTCTGACCGGGACCGCAACCTCATGGTGTACATGTACCTGCCCGAAGGTGAGTGCTTCCTCTACCCCCTCTGCCTGGGCTGTGGCTGGGCAGGCAGTGACCCAAGGCCCTTCTGGTCTAGCCAAGGAGAGTTTTGGGGGCATGCGCCTCTTGCGCCGGGCAGACTTTCACGTGGGTGCCCATGTGAACACGTTCTGGAGGACCCCGTGCCGAGGGGCCACTGAGGGGCTCAGCAAAAAGTCGGTCATGTGGGAGAATAAGCACATCACGTGGTTTGGTGAGTGTCGGGGGGCAGGTGTGTCTGGGTTAGGGGGGAGCCCTAAGTTTGGCCTGGCTCACACTGCAACCCCCACAGCCACCCTGGACGGCGGCATCGGGCTGCTGCTACCCATGCAGGAGAAGACCTATCGGCGGCTGCTGATGCTGCAGAACGCGCTGACCACCATGTTGCCACACCATGCAGGCCTCAACCCCCGTGCCTTCCGGTGAGCCCCACCCCACCCCTACCCCTGTGCAGCGCCCCCTCCACCCCAGCCTGCCCTAACTTCCGTGCCTGCACACCCCAGGATGCTGCACGTGGACCGCCGCACACTCCAGAATGCCGTGCGCAATGTGCTGGATGGGGAGCTGCTCAACCGTTACCTGTACCTGAGCACCATGGAGCGCAGTGAGCTGGCCAAGAAGATTGGCACCACACCTGACATTGTAAGTGCGCTCCCTGCCCCTGTGTGAGCCCCCACCAGTGTGCGCTCTCTCCCACCCGTCCATCCCTTGCAGATCCTGGACGACTTGCTGGAGACAGACCGTGTCACTGCCCACTTCTAGCCCCTTGGATGCCACTGCCACCACCACACTGCACTACCTCCCGCCCCCTCTTTTGTATAAAACACAAAGAAAACATTTTTGTTTGAGATGAGTGCGTGGTCATTACACGGCCTTCAGGACTTGAGCCGAACAGCGCAAGTGCCCAAAGGGCTTGGGGTGCCCCCACCTGCAGCCCCGCCACCTCCGTCTGCCCAAGGCATAAAGGGCCCTGCTGAACCCGAGCATGGTTGTCAGGCCAGGCACACTAGGTCTCCAGGTACTGGTAGAGCTCCTCCGCTGGGGGCACAAGCCTCAGGTGAACCAGAGCACGTGCCAGGAGGGCGGTCAGCCGCATGGCCAAGGTCTGCAGCCTGTGTGGGCGGGCCAGGTCACAGGTGGGTGAGTAGCAGGCCCCTGCCACCTGCCTGCCCCAGGGCCACTCACCTGAGGGCCACTTCAAACTTGAGCATCTCCCAGACGACCTTGGCATGGCGCAGGAGGCTGGTGCCGTAGACACCCTGGTATGCAGCACCCGCCAGGCGGCTCCAGCCCTGGACGGCCCTGCAGACACCTACATTAGCACCATGTCCATCCCATACCAGCCCGGCCAGAGGTACCCGCACAGCCTACTGACCTCTTGGCCATGAGGAAGTAGCGGTCCACCGGGGTGCCAAGGGCCACGTTGACAGCGCGCACAGTGTTGATGTTGCGCAGCACCAGCAGCATGGGCCGCGGCAGCGCCTTGAGCACCGCCATGATGGCCTCAAAGCGCTCGCGAGCCATGTCCACCATGTAGGCCGCCTCTTCGCGGCTCAGCAGGCGTGAGCCCCACAGCTGCCCCAGGCGCACAGGCCGCTGCATGAGCATCTCGGAGAAGAGCAGGTAGTCTGGGGAGGGAGGGGGGCTCTGAGCTGGGCTCCAGGCTGCCAGCCTCCCTCCTGTGGTGCCCTGGCCATCCCTGCACATCCTCACCTTGCACCCCGAGCGCAGCTGCATGCACCTTCATGGCGGCGTCGTCCCGCAAGATGATGGCCCGCCACAGCTGGCACAGGGCTGCGCGGTCCCTGGGGGGTGGATGGGATGAGATCCACCAGAGATGAGCCCTGGGTGAGCCCCTAGCGGCAGGAGAGGCTTGCCCAATCCCACACCCACCCTCCCGCACTCACTTCTCCTCCAGGAACTGGTAGAGCCCGTGGTCCAGCAGCACCAGTTCCGCCTTCCCGTCGGGGCCTTTCCGCACCAAAACTAGGGACACAGCCTTTTAGGTTGCACCCCGCCCACCCCAAGACCCCCATCCCCAGGGGACTTCCTACCGTTGCCAGGGTGTGGGTCAGAGTGGATGAAGCCTGTGTAAAATATCTGCTCAGCAAAGGCCTTGATGAGCTTCTCTGCTATCTGGGGAGAGGAGCGGCCTTGAGTGGACACAGGCAGTGCCTGCCTGCCCGCCCGCCCGCACCCCACCCCCTACCCTACACGCACATCGTGCACTGCCAGCCCCTGGCTCCTAATGGCCTCCACATCGTTGACCTTGCAGCCGGCGCAGAAGTCGGCGGTGAGCACGCGCTGGAGAGAGCAAGAGGCTGGGCTCAGCAGGCCTGGTGCTGTGCCCACCCCAGGGGCCTGGCCCAGCCCACCTTGCTGGACTTGTCCCAGTGCACGCGGGGCACCACGATGTAGGGGAAGTGTGCCAGCTCGCGTGCACAGCGCTCTGCGTTGCGGCCCTCATTCTCAAAGTCCAGCTCCTGGGCCAGGGTCCCTTTCAGGTCCTATGGGCCAAATGGGGGTTGAGGGTCAAGGTTGACGCCCTACTCTGCCTACCAGCATGGCAGGACTCGGCAGGGGAAGAGGTGGGGCGGTACCTGGAGGACCCAGCTGAAGCCAAAGCTGGGGTGCATGACCTCAATGAGCTGCAGCAGGAGCTCCAGGGTGGGAATGTCCCCGTCAAAGCGGTCCCGCAGGTCAATGTACTGCACCTGCACCGGCAAGGGCGTGCTGAGGACGGGGCCCCACGGGGCCACTGCTCAACCAGGAGGTCCCCACATACCTTCACAGCCACGCTGGTGCCATCATGCAGCTTGGCTCTGTGCACCTGTGCCAGGCTGGCGGCAGCAATTGGCTGGTAGTCAAACTCCTGGAAGAGCTCATGGGGCAGGGCCTGGAAGTCCTCAAGGAACAACTCGTCCACCTGGCAGGACAGCTGCTCAGAGCAGCCTGGGCCACTGCTGAACCCCCACCTCCCTCTGCCTGACTGCAGCACTTACCTCCTGGAAACCCTGCTTGAGGGCCCTGTCCTCCAGCACACGCAGGGTCCGGATGTACTCAGGAGGCAGCAGATGGTTAAAGGAGCACAGCCCCTGGCCCAGCTTCACGTAGAGGCCCCCATTGCTGATGGCTCCTGCCACCAGGGCATCCGCCGCCCGCTGGTGACACGCAGACATCACCTCCAAGTAGCCCGGGCTGTTCTGACCACGGGATGCGGAGAACACACAGGGCAGGTGACTGTCTCCTCAGTCCCGCCCAGCCCACCACCTCATGCCCCCCACTGTGTGCCCAGGGCACCAGGACAAACCTCTTCCACCCCTCGAAGGACAACATTGGTGCACCACCAGTAGTCCAGGGAGATCTGCAGGCCCACCTTCAGAGACCTGTGGGCAGAGGTGGCCTCAGTCTCCAGGTGGGCAGGCTTGGAGCCCTAGTGTGTGGTCCTCTGTTGCCATGGTCTAGCCTGACCCTGGCCAGCCCTTCATGTCCCAAGGGCGAGGCCAAGCCAGAGTCCAGCCTACAGCCCTGCAGGCCTGTGTGAGCACAAGGGCTGCTGAGCTCACAGGGTGTCCTGTGGTGCTTCAGGACATAGCCCCTGCAGGTCAGTCTCAGCTCAAGATCTGTAGAACGGGGCCAGATGCGGTGGCTCTTGCCTATTATCCCAACACATTGGGAGGCTATGCTGGAAGGACTGCCTGAGCTTAGGAGTTTGAGACCAGCCTGGGCAACATGGTGAAACTCCATCTCTACCAAAAATACAAAAAATGAGGCAGGCATGGTGGTACCACACCTGTGGCCCCACCTCCTTAGGAGGCAGAGGCTGCAGTGAGCTGAGATCGCACCAGCTGCACCCCAGCCTGGGTGACAAAGTGAGACTCCGTCTGAAAGTGATCTGCAGAATGGGCAGCCTGTGTCCACATCACCCGTGCCCAGGAGAGACGCAGTAGGGTGGTGTGGGTGGTGGTCTCCTGGAGAGACGGGGTTCCAAGGCTGGCTGTGAAGGGAAAGGACGGCAGCAAGGAGTCTGGGCTGAGGGAGCAGAGGCCGCAGGAGGGTCTAGGTCACCTGCAGCCCAAGGTCCACTAGGAAGATAGGACACCAAGAGAGAGAGTCTCCAATGCCTGAGGCGGCAAGGTCTGCAGGGAAGGGACCCCAGTTAAGGCAGGAAGTGGGGGGCATCCTGGCTCTGCTGGGCAGGTACTGGGCTCCTGGGGGAGATTTGAACAAGAGGATGGGAATGCTGGGGTGGAGGGGTGTCCCCTGGCCTGGCCCCAGTCAGGAGGATCTCTGGGAGAAGGCCCCTGGGGAACTCTGGGGACCAGCTGAGCAGCCCCAGAATGAGATGCCAGGCAAGCAGCAAGCAGAACACACACACAGGTACACAGGGAAGGGCGGAGGTCAGAGTGGCCTCCTCAGTCATGGCTTCTCAAAGGCTGTCCATAGCCAGAGGCCTGTCCCTGTGTCCTGGGAGGCTCGAGTACCTGCCCAGGGACAGGGCCTACAGTTGTGCCTGACGTGCAGTTCTGGCTGCCCAGGTGGGCTCTGTGACCCCCATCACACTAAGAAGATCCCCCATTGAGGCCCCACTCTGGGCCCCGATAAAGGGCACCTGTACTATGTTGGTTGAGCTGGAGGCCAGGGTTTTTAAATGTGATCTGACACTAAAAGGCTACTCAGTAGACAGGGCTGCCTTCTGAGCAGAGAGGAACAGCTTTAGGCCCCAAGACCCTCGTTGACACCCAGGCGTGCGGGAGAAGTCTGACTGCTCATGGCAGGCACAGGATGTGCGTTCAGTGGTCAGTGACTGACAGGGAAGGCAGGGCCTCCAGCCACTTCGTTTCTGTGGCTGGCAGTGAGCTGATACCTCAAAAACACTGAATACAGGAATGAGTGATGGAGCTACCGGCAGACATCCGGCATCATTTGCCTGAGGGCAAGTCCAGTGGCCGCTTCTGCGAACCAGCCTGCCTGTCCCAGTGAGCTGCCCCACCCACCCCTGCCTGCGCACACATGAACGCAAGACCCCGGCAGCACCCTGAGTTCCGTACTCAATGCCTGTGTGCATGTGAGCCAACACAATGATTTCTATCACCTAGAGCTGAGTCTGTCGATACAGCAAGCAGTTTTGATGGTCAATAAAAGTTACATCAAAAATGGTTAGGCCAGGTGCAGTGGCTCACGCCTGTAATCCCAGCACTTTGGGAGGCTGAGGCCATCGGATCACTTAAGGTCAGGAGTTTGAGACCAGCCTGGCCAACATGGCGAAACCATGTTTCTACTAAATACACAAAAATTAGCCGGGTGTGGTGGTGCACCCCTGTAGTCCCAGCTACTCCAGAGGGGCTGAGGCACAAGAATTGCTTGAACTTGGGAGACGGAGATTGCAGTTGCAATGAGCTGAGATGGTAGCACTGCATTCCAGCCAGGGCAACACAGCAAGACTTGGTCTCTTGGGAAAAAAAAAAAAAAGGCCAGGCACAGTGGCTCATGCCTGTAATCCCAGCACTTTTGGAGGCCAAGGCAGGCAGATCACCTGAAGTCAGGAATTTGAAACCAGCCTGGCCAATGCGGTGAAACCCCATCTTTACTCAAAATACAAAAATTAGGGTATGGTGGTGGGCGCCTGTAATCCCAACTATTCAGGAAGCTGAGGGGGGAGAATCGATTGAACCCAGGAGGTGGAGGTTGCAGTGAGCCGAGATTGCACCACTGCACTCCAGCCTGGGTGACAGAGTGAGACTCCATGTCAAAAAAAAAAAAAAAAAAACAAACAGGCCAGGCATGGTGGCTCATACCTGTAATCCCAGCACTTTGGGAGGCAGAGGCAGACGGATCACCTGAGGTCAGAAGTTCGAGACCAGCCTGGCCAACATGGAGAAACATCTCTACTAAAAATAGAAAATTAGTTGGGCATGGTGGCACATGCCTCGGGAGGCTGAGGCAGAAGAATCACTTGAACCTGGGAGGCAGAGGTTGCGGTGAGCCGAGATCACACCATTGCACTCCAGGGCAACAAGAGCTAAACTACGATTCATAAATAAAAATAAAAATAAACATTTGAAAAAGGTTAAAATCATTTTTCTGGCCGGGCACAGTGGCTCATGCCTATAATCCCGGCACTTTGGGAGGCTGAGGTGGGCAGATGACCTGAGGCCAGGAGTTCGAAACCAGCCTGGCCAACATGGTGAAACCTTGTCTCTACTAAAAATGTAAAAAATTGGCCTGGTGTGGTGGCACATGCCTGTAATCCCAGCTACTTGGGAGGCTGAGGCAGGAGAATCGCTTGAACCCAGGAGGCAGAGGGATACTCCCCAAGGGCAGGGCAGATACATCTGATTTTAGGTCGCATTTGTATAAATTTAGAAGACTGTATGGGCTGACACATGAGCCAATATGCATTGATAAAATTCTTGGAGAACTTTCATCCTTGGGGTAGGGCTAAAGGGAGCTTTCTACATTTCTAACTTTTCTACTATTAAGATTTGTTTTAGTAAACACGCTATTTTTGTAACAGAAGTTAAAGATGTGAAATAGTCCCACAGACTTATGCTTGGGGAGAAGGGATTTGTTTTTTGTTTTTGTTTTTTGAGATGGAGACTTGCTCTGTTGCAAGGCTGGAGTGCAGTGGCAGCGATCTAGGATCACTGCAATCTCCACCTCCCAGGTTCAAGCGATTCTCCCTCCTCAACCTCCCAAGTAGCTGGGACTACAGGTGCCCACCACCACGCCCAGCTAATTTTTTATCTTTAGTAGAGATGGGGTTTCACCATGTTGGCCATGCTGGTTTCAAACTCCTGACCCCATGATCCACCCTCCTTCGTTTCCCAAAGTGCTGGGATTATAGGCGTGAGCCACTGTGTCTGGCCATTTTTTTTTTTTTTGAGGCAAAGTCTCCCTCTGTAGCCCAGCCTGGAGGGCAATGGAGCAACCTTGCCTCACTGCAACCTCTGTCTCCTGGGTTCAAGCAATTCTTGTGCCTCAGCCTTCTGAGTAGCTGGGATTACAGGCACCTGCTACCACACCTGGCTAATTTTTGTATTTTTAGTAGAGATGGAGTTTCACCATGTTGGTCGGGCTGGTTTTGAACTTCTGACCTCAGGTGATCCGTCTGCCTCTGCCTCCCAAAGGTGCTGGGAATACAGGCACGAGCCACCACACCTGGATGGGATTTAATTTTTAAAAACATGGCAGGTCTGTCCGGGCGAGGTGGCTCAAGCCTGTAATCCCAGCACTTTGGGAGGCCGAGGCAGGTGGATCACGAGGTCAAGAGATCGAGACCATCCTGGTCAACATGGTGAAACCCCCCCTCTACTAAAAATACAAAAAATTTGCTGGGCATGGTGGCGCATGCCTGTAATCCCAGCTACTCAGGAGGCTGAGGCAGGAGAATTGCCTGAACCCAGGAGGCGGAGGTTGCGGTGAGCCGAGATTGCGCCATTGCACTCCAGCCTGGGTAACGAGCGAAACTCAGTCTCAAAAAAAAAAAAAAAAAAATACATGGCAGGTCTGTGGGCCTCAGAACTCTAGGGAGGCTTGGAAGCCACAGCATAGCAAGGAAGGTGGCTGGGGATCTGCACCAGGCATGGCTTCTTAACTGCAAAAGTGGTGCTCTCATTAGAAAGAAAATCCATCTGAGGCTGGGCACGTGTCACTGCTGGATGATGTGCCAGCTGAGGGCACGGCCCTGAAAGGACCAGGCCCTTCAGGGTTGGTGGGAACACTCGTTGGTTTCCTATACCCCAGGTCTCCAGCTGAGGGGGCCCCGCTACTCCAGACAGGAGAAGCCTAGGTGGACACCAGAGCTGCTTCCCAACTCAACCCGCCTGGCTCTCAGTGGGTCCTGCTCCCGGCCCCTCCACCACAGATGGGCCGGAACAAGAAAGTGGCCCTGGGAGGAAGGGCTGCTGTGATTCTGGAGGCTTCCCGCCCTCACCACGATGCACATCCCTCCCCACTGTCACGTATGCCTGCCAAACCATCTTCCACAAATGGGGCAACTTTTTGTGAGGACAGCAGACACCCTCCTGAAGAATTAGGTCCAAGAGCTTTTGGAGGTGCCGAACAAGGTCCCGCACAGGGCATTGAGGGAGGAGGAGGTCCCTGCAGGGGCTGTACTCATGCCGAGGAGTCCCATGAGTCCCTGTAAGGGTGAGGGTGCCCGGTTTCTCACAAGGTCAGGAGTTCAAGACCAGCCTGGCCAACATGGTGAAACCCTGTGTCTACTAAAAATATAAAATTTAGCCAGGCACAGTCTGGTACATGCCTGTAATCCCAGCTACTGGGGAGGCCAAGGCATGAGAATCACTTGAACCCGGGATGCGGAGGTTGGAGTGAGCCAAGATCATGCCACTGCACTCCAGCCTGGGCAACAGAGTGAGCCTGTCTCAAAACAAACAAAACAAGGTGCAGGGAGGAACAAAGCACATAGGTGCGCTGGCTCTGCCATGGTCCTCACTGGCTCCTTTCTGGGTTCCTGCATGAATGCTCCACAAGGCTCAGGCCAGGCAAGGCTTTGTGGCTGCAGGAATTCTGGGATCTAACCAAAAGCAGGAATGCTCGCCCAAGGGTTCCAGCAGAAAGTGTCCCCGCCCTCCCCGAGTTCTGAGTTCTGCCCAGGGAGTGAAGGAGGCAGAAAGATCAGTGACACAATAACCCGATTTCGCCCATCCCCAGGGGCAGGGACAGGGCAGCCTCCTCTCCCAGGCCCAAACTTTGGAATGGGGTGAGAAGAGAAGGGAGGGAGGGCAGCCGCTTCTCTGCCAGTCTCGAAGCCTAAGGGAGGGCTGGAGCCCCTTGCAGCTCAGGCCAAGGTTGATCTGGGGAAGGGCCTGTGGCGGCCAGGTCCAACGAGGAGGACCCTTGTCTACACCACACCCCACAGGCCCGGCAGTGCTCACTGTCCCTACAGCCAGCACCTTCCCATGTAGGAAAGGACACCTGAAAGCCAGCTGTAAAATCCCCAGCAAAACCCTGCAGCCTTCCCGGCCCTGCCACCACATCTGTGAGGTCGGCATCTGGAGCAGACACTCCTGCACACAGCACACCACCCACCCACCCCCACACCACCCACCGCCATGCCACTGGGCACTCCTACCTGCCAAAACGCCCCATGCCATCTACCACAAGCCTCATCCTCCTCTTCTCCCGTGCCTCTGCCATGACATAGCGGGCTCCGAGGAGCAGGGGCACCCCTACTACCGTGGTGGACAGCACCTTTCTCCACAGGGGTGCGGGGCTCGAGAACCTGAGGGGAGACAAGCATGCAGCCTGGAGGCACCATCCACCCCCCATTCAGCTGGGCTCTGACCTCTGCCCCCCACCATCCAGAGTGCCACCTCTCACTCCTGTATGTACAGCCATTCTGATGGTGTGGTCACCAGAGAACACTCTGCATCAATGTCCCCTTCCCTGAGCCCACATGGCCATAAAGGTCAGGTCTCATTTGGGTCTGTCCGGAGACCCAGCCATGGAGCCATGCACCATGGAAATGGATCCTCAGGTAGACTGGGAGCAACTCAATGGCAGGTCTGTGCTACTCATGGAACCAGGGCCACCTACACTGGAGAATTACAACCACTGTCCACCTCGCAGGGTCAGGTTGGACCATCCAGTTGGATGGTCATCAGCACAGCAGAGACAGAGATGCTGAGGTCAGCTGTGCTGAGTCACATGACGATGCAGAGCAAGGAACAGAGCTTTGTCCATGCTGAACACAGTAGGATCCCCATATAGGCTGAATACAACAGGACCCCCATACCCGCTGAATACAGCGGGAGCTCTGCTGAACATGGTAGAAGCTCCATACATGCTGAGTGCAGCAGGCACCTGAGCACCCATCTGTTTCTACACCTGGCCATGTCTGTCCCAGGGACACAGATTCTCCTACTGCAGAACTCTGAGGAGACCCCCACCAGGTTCGCCGAGCCAGTGGTGCTCAGGCAGCTCACCCTGCCTGCCTGGTCTGCCGCATCTACCCTCCACAGCCTTCCTGCCTTGCCACCACCCCTCTTGCCCACTGTGGTCCAGCCTTCCTGGCCTCAGGCCTTGTCTAGCCTTTCCTTCTGCTCAGAACACTCTCCTCCACATCTCTTCGTGCTGCTCTTCTTCTTGTGTGACCCCCTACCTAGAGTCACCCTGCTTTCCTCCAGCCTCTGCACGATGACCCAGTTGGTCTTCAGAGCAGGCACTCCATGTGTACTCTTCCCAATTCGCTAGCTGTCTGCTCTCAATGCTGTGGTCAGGGCGTGTGCCTCACCACGGGTCAGGTCCTGGGGGTCTCTGGTCCCAGTGCATGGCACTGAGGAGCAAACATGTCCTGTCTTGGTCGGGGGTACGGGAGAAGGTCCAGCCTCAGGCCCTCGACTGCCGCCTCTGCATGTCCACAGACACTATCCATGGCAGCCTGGTGAGAGGCACATGTCCGGGGAGGACTCCATACCTTGGAGGAAGGACCCTGAAGTTTCTCCTGAAGAACACAGCAGGGGACGGCCAGGGCTTCTGCCTGCTGTGCAGCAGAGCATAGTGGAAGTGGCAAAGCTGCAACTGCAAAGAGAGGAAATTGTGTGGGGTCAGATGAGGCCAGGACACACCCCGCCCTCTACCACCACCAGTGCTTATATGCACTAGAGACTGAGGCAGCCAAGCTGCACTTCCCTAACCTCATTAACCTCATTATTAGTCCTTTCTCACACTACTGTAAAAAACTACCCAAGACTGGGTAATTTATAAAGAGAAGAGGGTTTTTTTTTTTTTTTTTAAATAGAGACAGGGTTTCACCATGCTGACCAGGCTGTTCTAGAACTCCTGACCTTGTGATCCGCCCACCTTGGCCTCCCAAAGTGCTAGGATTACAGGTGTAAGCCACCGTGCCCGGCTGAGAAGAGGTTTTTTTTTTTTTTTTGAGACAGAATCTCAAATTCTCCAGGCTGGAGTGCAATGGCACAATCTCAGCTCGCTGCAACCTCTGCCTCCCAAGTTCAAGTGATTCTCCTGCCTCAGTATCCCAAGTATGGGACTACAAGCATGCACTACCACGCCCAGCTAATTTGTGTATTTTAGTAGAAATGAGGTTTCATCATGTTGGCCAGGCTGTTATCAAACTCCTGAAGTCATGTCACTGGCCCTCCTTGGCCTCCCAAGTGCTGGGATTACAGGCATAAGCCATTGCACCTGGCTTACAAAAGAGGTTTAACTAACTCACAGTTCCACGGGCTGTCCAGGAAGCACCGCTGAGGGACCTCAGGAAACTTACAGCCACAGCAGAAGGCAAGCACAGCACAGGCGAAGCAGTGTGGGGCAGGGAAAGGCCGAGCAAGAGTGCAGAGAGGGGAGTGTCGCACACACTTTTAAAGCATCAGATCTCTGAGAACTCACTGTCACAAGATCGGCAAGGGGGAACTCTGCCCTCATGATCCCATGGCCTCCACAGGCCCCTCCTCCAACACTGGGAATCACAACTCCAGTTGATGAACTCCAGGAGATGAGCTTTGGGTGGGGACACAAAGCCAAACCACATCACCAGGTCAGTCAGCAAAGACGGTCAGCACCCCCGTGCTCAGGCCTGGAAGCCGGGTTCCCGTGTTGGACTCAGAATTGGAAACACTAACCTACCTCTTGGGGCTTATAGCTCGGGTGCTGACAGGTCATCAAACACACCCATCTCTGAACGTCCCCTCAGTCTCTGAAAGAAGAGATGGCGTCGCCACCTGGCTCATCTGGGATGAGACCCACCCCGTCCCTGCCCCCGCACTCTCTTAGCAGCACCCTGCCCTGTCATTTACTATTCCCTGCTGCTGAGACCACTGACCAGTGGCCAGAGGAAAGCAGTTCTCATCTCAGAAGGAAGTGGTGACAGTGCCCAGCCATGGAATCAGACAGCAGACGCCAACCTCGAAGGTGGACGCCTGGGCGGGAGGAGTGGCCTGGGTAGGTCACTTTTCTGAAAACAAATGAAAATACAAGGAACTTATAACTTACTGAGACCCCACAGACAGGGACTCTGTACAGCTTCTATGTGGAAAAGGGGAGGGGTGGCCAGGGTGGAAGACATGCCGCAGCTAGCAGGACACATGTAAAGAAGCCCCAAAGGCCAGGTGCTATGGCTCACACCTGTAATCCCAGCACTTTGGGAGGCCAAGGTGGGTGGATCACCTGAGGTCAGGAGTTCAAGCCTGGCCAACATGGAGAAACCCCGTCTCTACTAAAAATACAAAAAAAAAAAAAAAAAAAAAGGAGCCAGATGTGATGGTACATACCCGTCATCCTAGCCAATTGGGAGGCTAAGACAAGAGAACCGCTTGAATCTCGTGGGTGGAGGTTGCAGTGAGCAGAGCTGGTGACACTGCACTCCAGCCTGGGCGACAGAGCTGGACTCCATTTAGAAAAATAAATACTTAAGGCCAGGGGCGGTGGCCTGTAATCCCAGCACTTTGGGAGGCCAAGGCAGGTGGATCACAAGGTCAAGAGTTCGAGACTAGCCTGGGCAACATAGTGAAACTCCATCTCTACTAAAAATACAAAAAAAAAGCCGTGTGTGGTGGCGGGCACCTGTAATCCCAGCTACTTGGGAGGCTGAGGCAGGAGAATTGCTTGAACCTAGGAGGTGGAGGCTGCAGTAAGCTGAGATTGCACCACTGCACTCCTGCCCAGGCAACAGTGCAAGACTTCAACTCAAAAAAAAACAAAAATGGAAAAAGAGAAAAAGAAGCCCCAGCACGAAATGTGCTGCTTTATCTTTGTGACTATGAAAGCATCACATAAAACTTAAAGTATGCTAATAATTAAAAAAAAAAACCCACAGATCTCACATGCTTACTGGCAACCTTCATCTCCCAATCATATCTGACCTATGATGAGGTCTTACAACTCTCCTCAACTCCACATTCCCCAGCTGAGGGCTCTTCTAATAAGTCAGGGTTTGGGGAAAGACTGCATAGTCAGTCATGCTCCGTGGCACCAACGCTAACATGGTTGTCAACACTGGACCAAGTGAGGAACCGACTTGCCAGCTGGTTTCTGGCCAGAGCTCAGAGCCCTGGAGAAAATTTCGAGGACTCCAAACAACACGAAAGCCAAAGGAAGAAGTCCATGACCTATTGTCCCTAGAGGATGGGCTGACAGAAACCTCTGCTCGGCGAGGTCACACGCAGCAAGTGCTGATTCACAAGGAAAACCCCAGCGGCAGCCGGGCAGCGAATCGTAGGCATATCATCCACCTGCTGCCTAGCCAACCTGCACCTCCTGACCCTGGCCACCTCTGATGCCAGCACCTGCACAGCTGGAGGTCAGGCAGCTGTGCCCATGGACTGTGGAGAGGCTCAGAGCAAGAGCTCATAAGGGGCTGCTAGGCTAAACTCCAGGTGGGCATCCCAACCACCACCCACCTCATCCCTTACTAACAATGCAAGCTGCTTGCATTTCAGCAGGCTCCATCAAGCAAATGAGGCCAGGAAAGGCATGGCTCTCTGATTGCTGTCTCCAATAACCGTTTTCTGCTGTTTCCTCAGGAACCAGCACGGCAGAAGGGGCTCCAGCTGCGTCTCTCACTCCCATTCAAAGGACAAAGATCCCTCCAGGAGGCCCTGAGGTGCCCTCACCCAACCCTGGTCTACCAGTAGCCCCGCTCACCCCCATGCCCGGCTCCACCTGGCTCACTGTGGTCCTGTCCTGCCACTGTCGCCATCACACGCCAGTGTGACTATTAACTTACAGAATCTGTCTCCTCACTAGACTGTGAACAGGGCTACATTTCAACCATCCCTGTACAAGCAAGCACTCAATGAATGCCTGCCGAATGAGACCAATGGCTACGAAGCACAGGACTAAACAGAACCCCACAGAGTCTGGGCCAGGACCCCCACCAAGCAACAGGCAGCAGATCACAGGCAAGAAATGGCCGCAGCCCCTGCCTTGGGCTGGCCCTGGATGCAACCCCGGTGGACAAGGCCTCATGCTGATGACCCACAGTGCCCACCAGAGCCCATGAGGCTGTGCAAGAGCCTGGCTCCTTGGAATGTGGGGTGCCCAGCACATCCAGACTATTTTCTCTGAAATTCCCATCACACAGGAGAGGTCCCCAAGGCCCACAGAGGTTATGGGGGACTGAGCCTGCAGCCACACATCCCAGAAAGACTTCCCAGAATGCAATCCCGGGCAATTCTCACATGACACACAACCCCAACCGCACCCAGAAAATGACCTCGAAACTGCCAAAAGATAAGCACAATCTTCTAGACAGTGGACCCCCAGGGCGTTTCCCCCACACACCCCAGACAGCCCTGGTGACTCGTCCCTGCAGCTCCCCTCGCTCCCAAAGCCTTCCAGTTTGGACAAGATGAGATGTGTCCCCTACGCCCCAACCTCTCATGCTTTCTTACAGCGAGTGTGTGCAGTCTGTCTGCACAAACAGAAACACGTCCCTTTCCAGAGTCACTTTAGAACACCACTGACTTCCTTGAAAGCAGCAAGTGTTCTGAGTGGTAGCGCTCACACAGGTATCACAAAGTCCACAAACCAAAGGGCGTGCTTTGGACGCAGAACCACGCGCGTGTGCGCTCATGTCTGGTTTTCCAGGGCTGACAGATGAGGACGACACAGGTCACCAGACAGGCCCGTCCTCGGCAGTAAGAATCAACTGCTGAGTCTCAGAATGACGCCGGAAACAAAAAACCACGAACGGATGAACAGAGCCTGGGTAACGCAAAAGACCTGTGCCCTTCAACAGGAGGGGAAACCGAGGCACATAACTGTCTCCAAAGTTAGGAAGAGAGATTGGGAGTCCAGGTAGGGAAAGTGGGTCTGGCAACCACAGACACTGTCCTTCTCCCAGAGTGTGACCTCTCAGCCCCAGCAAGCCCTCAAACTCCGACTGGACCCAGCCCTGCTCACTGGCCATCAGCAGCCCCTAACCGTTAGCGGATAAGCCAACCTGTCCACTCGCTGGGGCTGGGGGAGTGGGGACTGAGTGGGGACTGAGTGGCCTGCATGTGGGAAGATTTTGTCACCTGGAAGGAGCTGCACTGAAGGCCACCTCCCCAGACCATGAAGCACCCTGGGCTGGGCAGGGCACAGCACAGCACAGCACAGCTGGGCTGGGCACGAGTGGGCCGTCCATCAGTGCTATTAATAGCCAGCCAGGCAAGGCTAGCTTATCGCTAAACACAAACTCTGCAGACATTCCAAGAAAAAAAGGACCGGCGCCGGGAGGAGCCTCTTCCATCTCTTCGGGAAGAGGGTGGGTAACAAGCGTGTCAAGGCCTCTGCCCCGCCCCACCGCAGTCCTAACTGCAGAACTGGACCCCGCGGCCACGTGGGAGCGGGGAGACGCCGAGGGCCTGAGAGAGGGGGCCTCGGAGCAGTGGGGAGCGCGCCCCTGAGCCGGAGCAGGGGGGGTCCAGAGCAGAGCCCGCCCTGCAGCCCCCGCCCGCCCGCCGCCTCAGGCAAGGCAGGCCCCGGCGGGGAGGCAAGCGGAGGACGTCTGGGGGCAGCAGGCCGGGCAGGGAGGCGTCTGTGACCCCGGGAGGCCGCCTCGGGGAGGGGAGCGGTGCGAGGCTTCCCCGCCGGGTCCCGGATCCGCTGAGTACGCGCTCTCCGGGGCGCAGGGCACCCGCCTCCGTGCTGGGCTGAGAGGCCCCTGCGGCTCCCGGTGCAGGCGGCGGGCACGGCTCCCGCCAAAAAAATCCAGCTCTCGGGGAGGCTGAGGCAAGCGGATAGCTGGAGCCCAGGAGTTCGAGACCTGCCTGAGCAACATGATCATGGCGAGACCCTACTCTATTAAACTAAATACAAAGTCTGCCGGACGCAGTGACGCCTGCGGTGTCAGCTACTTGCGGGGCGGAGGCGGGAGGATCCCCTGAGCCCGGGAGGCGGAGGCTGCTGCGAGCCGAGATCGCGCCACTGCGCTCTAGGGAGACAGAGCCAGACCCTGCCTCAAAAAAAAAAAAAAAAAAGGAAAAAGAGCCCGGAGGGCTTTGGGGGTGGGGTCTGGGGACCTGCGGGTCTCGGGTCTCTAGGGCTGGGGTGCGCAGGACCTCAGGCGCCCCGGGCCGGGCGAGTCCTCACCGGTCGCCACATCTCCGACCGCCTCTCCGCTCCCGACCCGCGCCGCACCGCCTCGCGTCTCGCAGCCCAGCAGTCACTGCGGGAGGGCGGGTAGTGCGCACGCGCTGGAGCCGACAGCCCCGCCCCGTTGGCGGTGGGCGGAGCTGAAGGCCCCGCCCCGAGCCATGAGGGCCTCGGCGACTGGGCAGCGTCTCCTGGCGGCCACCAGAGACCTCCCTCGTGGCGCCCGGACTGCGCCCGCCTGGGAGCGGAGGGTTCCAGGCTAGCTCCGGGCGCAGTGCGCGTTCCCGGGGCAGGCACCGGCCTGAAGGACTGCAGAGAGAAGCACATGGATAATGTGGGATGGGCTAAGGGCTTTCTGAGGTCTTCGTGGCCCGGTATCTGCCCCTCCTCAACAATCCGTGCTAGTGTGATTAGAGTGAATATCTCTTTAACCTCAGGACTCCACTCACCACCAGCCTGTGCAAGGGGCAAGGAAATGCCTGTGACTGGGAACTGGAAGAACAACCAGGAGAGTGGTAAAGGGGTCCTGGAGCAGCTCCCGTGCCCGTGGGGAGACCTTCCCAGGGCCAGAGCTTCAGATTCTGGGGTCCAGTTTGCAGCCCCACTTGGTCCCTGTCACTTGGACACATCGGTGACGTCACAGCCTCCAGTAGTGCCCTAGGCTGTTACTCCTTATTAGATACAGTGAATTCCAAGTTTCTCTTCAAAGAATCAGTATGTCAGCATGTTCAGCACTCTTATTCTTTAATTCTCCATTTTAAAGTTTAACTTCCTTGTAGTTTCAGTAAACAATCTTTTCCACCGGGTGTGGTGGCTCACGCCTGTAATCCAAGCACTTTGGAGGCCAAGGCAGGTGGATCACCTGAGATTGGGAGTTCAAGACCAGCCTGACCAACATGGTGAAACCTCGTCTTTATTTTAAAACAAAACAAAACAGCAACAACAAAAAATCTTTTCCATCAGTTCTAATCAGTAGTTCACATCTTCCTCCCTCCTCTGCTCCATCCTGACTCATCCCGGCCACCTGCTCCAGTCACCTGCTTAAACCTACATCACCCCTGGCTACCTGTTCTGACCTGCCTGTAACCTTCCTTCCTGCCAAACTACTCACCTCGCCACTCTGGCTCCTATGTAACCCTGCTCCCTTTAGAATAGCCAATCAGAATTAGCCTAGAGTATGCGGTCTAACCCTTAGCCAATAGGGGAACGACACAGCAGTAGGGGCTACCTCTGTCAGGAATAAGAATCCCTTCCCATCCCTCATCCAGGCATGCTCACCAGTGTTCCATCTGTGAGCTGTACCCTTCTATAGAAGTAAATTGCCTTCCTGAGGAAATTTATATTTGAGTGCTACTTCTTTTGTGGCACCGAAAATTTACATATAACATCCTCACTCTGACAGCCCTAGCTGGGTAGGGGCCAGGCCTGGACACACCATACAGCCAGCAAGGCTACTGCTGGACTGACCTCATCATCCCCAAATAGGTCAGGGATCCTCAGATGGCAACATGGGTCCTGGGACTTACTGGCTGGAAGCCCTCCTAGACCCCACTGTGACATGAAATAAAACACCATCCTTGTAGGGTCCACAAGGGCTCCTGAGCCAGCCTGGCCTAAGGGTGCCACAGTAGCTGAAAATGGGAGGTTTTTAGGCCGCAGTGCTTTTTCACAACCCTCACAAGTGGCTCCTTGTAGGGTTGTGGGGTGTCCCTTATGCTGTATTGAGGTGCTGGATCCAAGAGGTAAAGAGACAGGACACTGAAGGATTGCTGAAGAGCATCTGGACTCGGAGGGCCACACCACCTGTGTGCAGAGATTAGCAGTGTCCCCCAAATGCCCCAGAGCATCTGTATTTATTAGGTACAAGCAGGGGGCAGGGTCGTGAGTGAGGTCATCATCTATAGGCTTAGTGATAGGACATGCATAATCACATGAGTTACAAGCAAGGGGACCACCCCATTAGGTCACCTGGGCAGAGAGGTGGGCCATGCGCAGCAGGGGGCTGTGCTGTGTGCAGTAGTAGAGGGTCGTGTACAGAAGAGGGGTCCACCCTCATTAGGTCACCAAGGCAAGGAGGTGGGCTGTGTGCAACAGGTGTCATGTGCAACACTTCTTATCTGGGGGCTGGAGACTTCAAAGGATTTCTGATAGAAGGATACTGTAAGCTTAATGCAGTGGGAGCTGACAGATTTGTGCTCGTCTCTTAAGATATTTATGGGAAGATTCTTTAAGCTAGCACAGAAGCGAAAAAAGACTAACAGGGTGTACAACCACCGTGATTGGATCACACCAGAGGGTTCTTCTCCCTCGGTTATTTGAGGGATCTCAGGCCTGAGGCCTGCTTTCCACAGGAACTGGAATCAGGTACTACAGCTCCTTTATCAGGAGGAGAGGCTTTTGCTCCAAGCCTGCCAGACAGCTTGTGCCCTTTCAGGCAGGGACGCCACCGCCTAGGTCTTTGGTTCTTGTCCTGGTCTTGCTGTTTTCCCATGTGCTGCTTCTGTTCTGTGACTGCTCTAGGCAGTCCTCCTACTACAAACTACTGTATGGTTATATAGAAGGATTATATATATCAGCACTAAATGTGTTAGTACAGCTCCGGCTACAATACCTATATGATTATATAGAAAGATTATATAGAACTAAGTAAGCTAGATATATGTAAGCAGTAAGTTACATGTCAAGCACTAATTCTATAAACTAATATATGATTGTATATGAAGGATTCTGTAAAGGAAACAGCTGAGCAATAACACTATAAACCAAGATATTCTTCAGGCACTAGTTGTGCCTAGGGTTTGGACAGTTCTTCCTTGGTGCCCATGGCGGGTGTTACCCACAGCTCCTCCTCCTCCCACGCAGCTCCTCCTCCTCTTCCTTTCACATGGCTCCTCCTCTTCCTTTCACATGGCTCCTCCTCCTCCTCCCACATGGCTCCTCCTCCTCCTCCCATATGGCTCCTCCTCTTCCTTTCACATGGTTCCTCCTCCTCCCACAAAACTCCTCCTCCTCCTCCCACAAAACTCCTCCTCCTCCTCCCTCACAACTCCTCCTCCTCCTCCCTCATGGCTCCCCCTCCTCCCTCATGGCTCCTCCTCCTCCTACACTCCTCATGCTCCTTCCACTGGGACTGAACCCAAAAGCATCTCTTCAGAGGGGTGGGAAAGGCAGTGCCTCACACCCTCTAGTGCCTCTTCTGTTATGGCATGTCTCCTGTGAAGTCCCCATCATCCCCAAGGTCAAGTATCCTGGATCAATGATTCTTTGTGCCCCCCGTCACTTTGCTAGCAGGACAGAAATTGGCCTCCAGAAGTGGCTCATGCCCAAGGCACAGACTAGAGCTTGACAGATGGACCTGGGGCTCCTTCCGGGGCCAGGCTTTCTGGACTGTTCTCATTTGCTAACATCTGCCTCCCTCGGCAACCTTTCCTGAGGGATGGAACAGGTCCAGGAACGCCATGTGGGCTGACACAGTAAGGCCTCCAGGCATCTGTGCTGTGACGTGAGCAAAGTGTGTGCCTAAAATCCTGGGCACTACCATCACAAGGGAGCCTTGGCCACCAACCTCCACGGCTGCCCCACAGTGGGAAGGGCCAGGAGGATTCTGACATCCGCTCCTGGGAAACACCCCCAAAAATGAACAAAGGAATGGCCTCTGTCCTGTTTCCACATCTCTGGAACTGCACTGTGGCCTAGGGTCCTGTCTGTGCTACAGGGCCCAGGATGGGGTGTGGCATCCTGTCCCCTGAGGGTGCGGGGGTAGTCCATGTCACACAGCTGAGCCACAGGGCCCAGGGGCATGGTGAAAGCCTTCCCCAGGTCCCAAGTGCCCACAGCCCCTGCCCCATTCAAGCCCCAGAAATGCAATTTACTCCATTCCTTGAGTGCAGCCCCCTCTCAAGCCCGCCCCGCTCATCTCCCAGCACTCCCAAGTTCCCCAAGCCCTGTGTTCCCAGTCTCTCTGGTCTCCAAAACTGCCATTAAAGAAAGAAGGGGTCAGGCGCGGTGGCTCACACCTGTGATCCCAACACTGAGAGGCCAAGGCGGGCAGATCTCCTGAAATCAGGAGTTCAAGATCAGCCTGGCCAACACGGTGAAACCCCATCTCTACTAAAAACACAAAAATTAGCTGGGCATGGCAGTGCGCGCCTATAATCCCAGCTACCCCGGAGGCTGAGGCAGGATTGCTTGAACCCGGGAGGCAGAGGTTGCAGTGAGCTGAGATTGCACCACGGCACTCCAGCCTGAGTGACAGAGCAAGACTCTATCTCAAAAAACAAAAACTACAACAAAAAAGAGATTAGAGAGGTGAAGAAGCATGGCTCTCACACAACTACAAAATGAGCACATGTTCATTTCACGCGTCCTGAACTGAGCACTGTCCAAAAGGACACCGCCCAAGCCAGACGCAGTGGTTTATGCCTGTAATCCCAGCACTTTGGGAGGCCGAGGCGGGTGGATCATGAGGTCAAGAGGTCGAGACCATCCTGGCCAACATGGTGAAACCCCGTCTCTACTAAAATACAAAAAATCAGCCAGGTGCGGTGGTGGCGTGTGCCTGTAGTCCCAGCTACTTGGGAGGCTGAGGCAGGAGAATTGCTTGATCCCAAGAAGCAGAGTTTGCAGTGCGTTGAGATCACACCGCTGCACCCCAGCTGGCAACAGAGCAAGACTCCGTCCCTGCCCCCCCCAAAAAGAGCCACTGTCCTAACCCCCAGAGCCTGGGAATGCAAATTTGTTTGGAAATGGGATCATTACAGACAAAACTAGGCTGAGGGTCTTTAGACAAAGTCACTGTGGGTAAGGGTGGGCTGTGAATCCAGTGGTGAATCTCTAGAGGAGAAGGAAGAGGGCGATTGGAGACACAGCAGGAAAGGCCACGAGAAGGTGGATGTAGACATGGGAGTGAGAGGCTCACAGCTGAGGGCGCCGGAGCTGGCAACTCAACAGCAGGAAAGAGAATGGGCAGGTTCTTCCTCAGAGCCTCAGAGGGAAGCCATTTCAGACCTGCGTTTCTGTTTGTCTGTTTTGTGTACACACACAAAGCAGTGACATTTCAGACTTTGCC